AATTAACAATTCTGCTTGTGTTTTCTTCTCCTAAAAATAGTGTCAACAAATTGGTCCCATCTCCTATTTATCTGCTTATGCCCTATTTTAGCAGCCAATTCAGGTATTGCCAGAAGTTTACCATACACACATCTTAAAATAAAAATGCCTGTCCTGCAAACAGGGCAAGAGGTCCACACACACACACACGGCCCTGGCCAGAGGCGCCCATGGTGCTGAGTGGTGCAAACATCTTGTGGGAACTTACAAACCCATATTTATGGAGTTTTTTCTTAATTTCTCCATTCATCATATTTGCTTTTAAGGACTTCGAAAACTTGCAGTCTGAGTCCTTGGCCCCACATGTGGCGCTCACAGGGCCCTGGCCTCGGCATGCAGGCCGGGACTTAGCACCCTGGAGGCAGGGCCGGAGGACAGACAGGCAGATTCCACTTCCGCTGGCGTACCATCCAGATGGGGGCAAGACTGACTCATGAATTTTCCAATGACCCTAAAGGTTATGGGCCACAGGGGCTTTTAGCATCAGACAAGTTAGAGCAGGAATACCTTCAGAGCTCACTGTCCAACACCATCACCTCATGAGGAAAACCAGATGAAGAGAGGCGAGGAGGGGTGAAGGGTTTCACATTCACCCAGCAAGTGTCGGGGCTTGAAGCCCGGCACCCTGAGCGCCAGGACAGGGCTCTCCGTGCCTTGCACCTGCGCGCCTTGCACCTGTGCACCTGCATACCTCACACCTCACACCTGTGCACCTCGCACCTGCGCACCTCGCACCTGCGCACCTTGCACTTGCTTTGTCCCAGGGACCGATAGTTCAGGTGCAGCAGATAGCTGAGACCTCAAAACTGGCTTGCCCTTCACAGTTGTGGGGTGCTACAGATCATCATCACAGAAATAAAGATAAAATATGGCCAAGTGCTATTCTGTGCATTGCCCTGTTTATTCAGGGAGATGGTGAAGCAAGTGCAGTCTGGCACCTGGGCATCTTTCCATCTTAGTGTTTCTTTGACACTTGCTGGGAAACCATCTTCCCATCAGCCCCCAGGCTGGTCTGTGGCTGTGTGGGCCCCCACTGCAGCCTGCCAGCCCCCACACACAACCGTACTTTTGTTTACACCTGTCTTTAGATATTTGGAGAACCGGGAAGTTCACATCAATTCCTAAGTCAACATTCTCATAGGGCTCGTCTTGGCATCCTCAGGTTTCTCCCTTTCCCATTGGCAAACTGATCCTCCGATTCTTAATATTTTTACTTATTTGATCAATTCCACTGAAGCTAAACAATCCTTGGAATGTCTCCTCATGACTTCATGCCCTTGTAGACTTATGGCCCTTTTCTATCCCCCCCACAGTCCCATCCTCTGGGCAGGGGGACGTCATCCTTCCTCTGTCATAGGCCAGCACAGGGCTCTCCGGCCACCACTGCATTCCATCTCTCTATGTTCTCAAGGTCCCTAGGGATTTAGGGTTTTTTAAAAATCATGCTTTCAGCCCTGCATTTGTGGTCTGTTTGTTAAACTTAACCAGTTTCTTCTAAGTGTTTGTAGAAGGAGGGTTTTCCACCTTTATTACCTTTAATATTTTTGAAAACAAAACACCACATGGGCCATTCTAGCATTCGCCCACACCAACGTTTTCCCTAGAAGCCTTCCTAGGGTGCCCTCCCTCCCAGGCCACTGGACCTGGGCCACAGACTCCACAAGCTCAGGACTCGGCCTCGGTGAACTGGGCTGATTGCAAAAAATGATAATAGAACTTGAAGTAGTTTTAGAGTAAAAAAAAAGACAAACAGAACATGTGTGGAAGGGAATATAAGTTTTGAAAAATATTTTAGCATGCTTAGGCTTGTGGGATTTGAGTGGCTAGACTCTGAAACAGCCTGTGATTTGCCCAAGATCCACATAATCAGCTGTTGAGCTGGGGTTAAATCCTGAGGTCCCAGCTCCCATGCAGGGCCTGCCACTGAGAGTCCCTCCCCCTCCCACGGTGACTGCATCCTGATGTGTCCCTTCTGTACCATGCACAGCCCCACAGCCCTTGCCTGGGAGATGCCCCCTTATCCCCACCCTGGGGCATGAGCCTGTTACAACCACCTTTTCTGCTGCTCCTGTGACATGTTTCAGTCACTTACCTGTCAGTTACACACACTCAAGGCCAGATTCCTGTGGATGGGGGTGTCAAGTCATAATGCCTAGTGAGGCGACCAGCCCCTCTCAGTCGGGAGCAGGGGGGCCGGCTTACTGACCCTGTGGAAGCCCCCTGCATAGGCCAGACAGCACCACGCAGCCCGCGTTTGCCTTTCGTGAGATCATAGGTCAAGGTAGGAAACAAAACTGGTAGTTTTCAAGGCAAACCAGACAGCGTTCGAGCAAGGGGGCAGCTATAGCACCCATGGGGTGATGGTGCCATCCTAACGCAGGGGTCTCAGTCCATAGGGGCTGCTGTCACAGAGGAACAGAGCACCCCAGGCAGGGGCTTTAGCAGCAGACGTGCTCTGGAAGCGGGAAGGTCGGGGTCAAGGGACTGCCGCTGCGGTGCCTGCCCGCTGCCGTCCTGCTGGGTCCTCGTGTGGCCGGGCAGACCGCCTCTGCCGTGCCTCTTCTTATAAGGAAACTGCAGTTTTAAAAGTTTCCACTGAGGTGCTATCCAGTGGCCTTCGCAACAAGATCTCCCTCAGGACCACACACCGTCTGTCACGCAGAGATGGGGGGCTTCGAGCCCAGCAAAATCTCACAAACTTCTTAAAGGTTATGTAGCCTGGGTTTGTTTTCATTCTTATCTGTAATACTTGCGCAGCCCCCATATCAGTGTAGCATCTTGTATCCCATCACATGTTGCGATGACTCTTAGAAAGGCGAAGGGGAAGCTTTACTTCTCCCCTTGGACTTTGATCAAGGACACTGCCTCTGTGCAGGTGTGGACACCTTGCAGCGGCCACCACTTCCCAGCTGACCCTGTTGGGCCCTGGCCGGCAGCTTGTGGAGAAGGTGGCCCATCTAGTGGCAGCCTCTTCATGGCTGCCGCACCATCAGCAGTTTGCCTAATTCCACGGTGAGGTGGCTACTTGGGGAGAAGGTGGAAGGAGCCTCCTGGAGTCTATCCAGCTGCTCAAAAAAGCCTGGGGTGACTTCAGGACCAGTAATAGAAAGCTCTGCTCGTGGTGAGCTGTGTCTGATGACAGCCAATGAACTCTGCATGCACTTTGCACCAAATCTGTCAGGAGAGCGGAACACACCCCCTGGGGACTGGGACTATGATAACGGTGGGGTGTGGGCATCAGGACATAGGACAGTGGGAGATGCGATGCTCTGGAAGATGATGGTTGGGGTGCACTTGTGGGTACCCCAGGACCACACAGCATTTGGAGACAGGGACAGGGCTGGTATCAGGTCCAACAGGGCCCATGGCTGGGTGGATCTCAAGGCAAGGACTTCTTCCCCAAAGGGAAATGGTGGGAGGAGGCAGACCTCAGAGAGGCATGGGATTTGGGATGGTTAAGAAAATGATCCGGGACTGGGAATTTCAACCAGCACCCAGGTCCCAGATGTGGACTGCTGGTGAGGGTGGGCTGGTAAGGAGAATGTGCTGTGCTTAGGCCCTGGGGTGTGGCATCCTGGCAACCTCTCTGTGCCCCGATGCCTCCTCTGTGAAAGGGGGTCATGAAGCAACCACAGCGGTGGGGAGGGGGAGGCGTGGCGCGGGGCACCGGGAGAACGGCAGGAGCTGACACATGTGACGCGTTTAGCACAGAGAGACTTTAACTGGTCCACAGATGTGAGCTATTTTTATGTAAGAATAAAGTGGAAGCCCAGTGGTTAGAACAGAGGCCCAAGGTCAGGCCAATTTAGCAGCAAGTCTGACTTGCTCTTGTTACTTGAATATTGAACCGATTTCCATAAATGGTCACTGACTTTGCGTGAAATTAGCCCAAGGCTTTGGGGAGAAGCTAGCTGGCCAGAAACCACACAATGGGGTATATTTTGGGAGAAAATCACTCCCAGCTTGGCAGCAAGTGGGTGCAGTGTGGCTTCGGCATGCACTCCCTCAGGAGCAATGCTTCTGGGTCCCGCAGCGGGGGCGGCCGGCATGGATGACTTCCTCCGTCACCTGGTGCTTGACTTAGGCAGTCACATTGTCTTCTTTTTCTTCAGAGAGGCGTGAAAGCAACACAAACATGGCTACGAACAGCCACTCTGAGAGCACCCTGCATCCCTTCCCGAAAGCACTGGAGTGGAGAGAGGGGATATAAATCGAAAGGCAAATCCCTCTTCAAGTACATAAAAGAGATGAAATCCAAGGGGAGAGGAGGGGCGCGTGCTGCAGACCAAACGTCCATGCCTGAGAGAGGCTTAGAGGAGCAACACGATCGGGCCATAAAATGTTTACAGCGTCCTAGGAATAATTGAATATTTCCTGGTTTGTTGTGCTGAGATTTTATGAGCCAAACAGGGGACCTTTAAAGCTTATTTTCTTTTGCTCTTCAATAGGTTTAATTAAGGCTGGACTTGGGGCTTAAAGTTGTTTGAAACCTTGAGATTTAGAACAAAACAATCCAAGAGACCTACATAACCACTGAGGCAGGCGAAGAAGGGATGGGTTACAGGGTGCCCCAAATGGGCCGATCGCTCAGTACCTTCTCAAAGAAAAATGTCTAATGTTTCTACACAGCCATCACTCAGAGTGTACCAAACAAAAATTTTTATTAATACGATTTGCATACATCCTTCTTTGCGTTCATAACCTATGTCAGCTTCTAGGTCCTGTGTCTGTCCTCTGAGTGGAGTTTCTGGATGACCGGATGGGTCCCTCTGTTCCTCCCCATCTTGATGGACAGCTAACACATTCAGTGCTCAGGCAGGCAACTGAGGTTCCTCTGCCAGAATGATTTCTTTCTTTATTCGTGGAATTTCTCCAAGAGGCCATGAAAAAGAAGTAACTACATCACAATTTAGTGTCTTTTCTTCTCTGTATCCATTGTGTTTTATTACCTCTCCATCCAGATTTTGTCCTGTCCGGACGAGTGCGTGCTGACTGACCTGCAGCAGTCTTCCAGACGCGCCACTTCCAGACGCTCCTAACGCCACCCGCCAGAGTCACTGCACCACCTCTTCTGATGGGCAGCAAGATACTGGCATGTGTTCCAGATCCTCATTTTGCAGATGGGAAAGGCGAGGCCCAGAGGGTCCAGTGACTTATGCAAAGCCACCCCATTTCCTAGTGACAGAGCTAGGACTAGAAATGAAATCGGCTCCCGTGAGTCCCAATCCTGCCTTTCCTTCCACGTGTGTTATGTTTGTATGCTTCTGCTTATTTTATTAAGCAAATACATGCCACACTAAGATCTGTACCACTGTACCACTGTACATTCGTA